AAACACTAACAGCAGGAACATATCTGCCTGTCTCCTCATAGAGAGAGCCTAATACCTACTGCTCCCTTGGTAGGGAGAGTTAGGGAGTGAAGCATCCCCAGAACAAGTTAAGAGCAATTATGCCCAGAGTAAATAAGACTCAGAAGTCTGAAATCATGCAATGCCTCCAGATTTTATCCACGCACAGTGGGATGCTCAGATTTGCTATTCCTCCTCATGTTCTGTGCCCGTCCAAGTGTGGGGTAATTCAATTACATCCACCGCTTTCATTAGTACATAGTTACAAAACTTTATTCAAATATTACATAAGGAACCAATCCACCGTCAAGGAATGCATGTGGCAAAATATACCTTTATAACTGTTAGGAGAAATGAAGGCCATGATTCTCAGATGATTAAAAAAAAAAAGAAAAGAAAAGAAAAGAAATCATTGGCAAGAGACCACTTAGATAAAACTAAAGAAACTCTTCACTGGCTTAATTAAGAAGAAATTATTGAAAGTTGCTATGTGCTAGGTACTGTGCCAGGGTCTAGCTATAGAGGTGACCTTGTAAAATTAAAAGCGCACAAGGAGTGACAGAAAGTAAATAATTTAAAGCTATAAGAGATTATAGGAATAACATTGTCATGTGTGCAGGGTGTAAAGAGAGCCGATAATGTCATTTGCGTAGAAGGCCGGGAAGCTTTGTGCAGAGGGATGAGCTTTACTTGAGGGTTGTTCAACAGGCAGATGGTGTGGGAGGGGCATTTGGGCTCAAAGAAGAGTGACAGCCAGGATCCAGCACTGAGGATCTGCCTGGCTGGCTTGCAGCCTGCCATCATTCTGTAGGGACAAAGAAGTCCATCGCAGTGTGGAGGGCAGAGAACACAGAAAGCGGGGTAGGTAGGGAGCGAGAAAGCCACAGAGATGAGTTGTGGCCTAGGAGTGGTCCCCGAAGCATTCTGAACTATGTTTAGAAAGATCATCCTAACAATTGGCGTGAAAGGTGGGTCTGAAAGTACCAGACTTTGGCAGGGAAGCCATTGAGATCAAATGCAATGCTACAGAGGAACAGATTGGAGGGAACAAGAATGTTTAAGGAGGTGGACTATGATGACATCACCACTCATCTACTCCTCCAAGCCAGAAATCTCTCTCTTGGTTGGAGACGATCCAGTTTAATTTAGCTTCAACTAAACAGCTTCTCTCCATTGCTATGCCCACCACCCTGGTTCAGGTTACTTTCATTTCTCTACAATTTCCCCAATTTTATTTTTGCCACTACTCTGTATTTCTCATGTTGTTTTTCTAATAAGAGGGATTTTTTGAAAATTAATTATCACCTTTTCTTAAAACACTTCAGAAATTCTTCACTGTGTGTAGGTCCAAACAGGCACCTTGATATGGCTTCAAATGTTCATGATGAGCTGTCTCACCTTTGCCTCTGAAGCCCTGATCACCTGTCCACTCCCATCTTGGCCACCCTGTGCTAGCTGGCTCCCCGAGCACACACTCCTACACCTTCACTCACAGGGTTCCCTCCCTTTTGGGGTATTCTGCAGGCTCTTCCCTTCACCTAGTTAACTAGAGCTATCCAACAGCTCTCAGACTGGACACCATTTCCTACAGGAAGCTCTCCTAATCTGACCCCCAAATCTGTGTTGGTGAGTTTCCTCTGTCCGGTGTCTCCTCCCCAATCAAGACATGCTGCAAGTGACTTGGAAACTGCCTGGTCTTTGGTGCTTCACCCACACACAGCCCACCTGTACCTGTCCTTTCCATCTCTAGGCAGTAGACTCTGCCATGTCAGAACCATGAGCAAACTGCTCCCCAAGGAATCCCCACCACCCAGCTCACCGCTAGGGTGCAGTATAAAGAGCAAGGTGCGTGTGTGTGTGTGTGTGTGTGTGTGTGTGTGTGTGTGTGTGTTGTATGTGATACATTAAAAAAAAAAATCTCAACTATAAACCTGCCTGGCAAAGAAAGTGAATAGTAAGACTACCATGATGCAGAGTAAATGTTTATCAAATGAAGACATAGATAACAAATGAATCCCTGCATTCATACAGGGGATGTACCTTGTCAAAAAAAAAAAGTAAATTTTATCAAAATGCAAACTTAAAAAAAAATAAACTCCACTTTATGTTCCAGAAGAAACCATTCCACTCTTAGATCAAAATGTAATGCACTGTCAGGGATCACTACTTTCACTATTTATAGTACTAGTACTTTATCTTTGGGGTGTTTATCTTCATAGTCACAAGAAAACTCTCTTGCAGAAAGCCTCTGATTTTATACAATCCACTAATAACATCCATTCATGGAAACAGCTTTAGTTTTCTATCCAGTGGTTAATGCCTCAAAGTCAGATAAGACACAGAGAACATCAGGAAAGAATCGCTTTTGAGGAAAAAAAAAAAAAAAAGACATCCTAGGTATAGGAATGTCTAACTAATAAAGCAAAGTGCATATGAACATGAACAAAAAGGGTCACACTTTTCCTTACACGTAGGTTTTTCTTTTAAGTGTATATTGTGTACAAAGTTCCTTTCTGGTTGCTATGGTATTAATTTCACTTGTAACAGAAAATTCATTAAACTATTTTTCATGAGACATATGTTCCTTATGCAATTAACAATACATTCAGCATCAATAAACTCTAATTTTAGAGACATTCATCTGCAAACATTAATCACTTGATGGTAAATTCAATTCCTACTTGACTTCTGCTTTTCACGCTCAATTCTCCAAGGATATATACCACGTAGTACCTCAAAAATATTAATTTTCTTACTATGAAAGCAGATTGAATTCCTAGAAAATCTTTGTGCAATAAATATATAAGTATATAAGTCAAATCAAAGTTGTATGAGAAAACAGTTTTCTTAGGGAGGACTTTGTTATTGACCAAACACTTCCAAAGAACCTAACCTTTCAGGGAAATGACCATAATATCCCCTATATTATCAAATTAAAAACAATATTTCTGAATAGGTCAAAGCTTCCCAAATTACATACATAGAAAAATCACATAAATTTAAAATACATTACCTACAAAGAATATGGACACCTGGCATGACTTTATTCAAGGGGGTCACTACCAGGGGGCATAATTTTTCTCTATTCAGATTGCCCGACATAGTACAGGTCTGACCAGTAACTCCCTACCAGGAATGGTGACAACTAAAGAAATATGCCTCCATATTTCCAAATACCCATTTGAGAGCTGGGAAGTCTCCCTTGTTTGTTGAAGAAACTTTAGCTCGACAAAAAGAACTTCCTGAATTGAAATCACTAGAAAAAGACAGTGCCCTCTCTTGAACCCAAGTCTCTGGGAAGTCAGTGTCCTGAGACCAGCAGAGAATGTCAAAGTAAGGGGCAAGCTCTGACCTGACTTTCAGTTCAGTCTTTGGCTTCCTGCCTTAGGTAACTTGTTCATCACATATTTTCTAAGTTAATATCTATTCATGATACTGATTACTTGCCAACTCCCTTGTCCTTTTTATTCATGTCTCTCCCTGATCTCAATCTTGGATCTACCCCATCCCAACTGCACCTGGGCTCTTCTCTCTGTAGACAAGAAAGGGTAGGGGGCATCATGAATCCAGAGCTTCCATTGTGCAATCTGAGGGACAAGCTTTCTATGTCACTGTCACAAAACACTCCTATTCACGCCACAGGACAGGTGATATCTTCCATATCACAGAGAAAACAGAGGCCTCCACTTCCTTCTGTCTGTCCACCAACTAATCTAACTTAGTAGCTGGAGTTTGATTAGTCAGCTGTGAAATGTGAGAGAGGCATTTCTCTTACTTCCTATCTCTCCCATTTTTCTCTTTTGCTTGGTTTATTTTATTGCATTTCCAGCATTAGACTGAACAGAAGCCACATGCCAGAGATAATTCTGTGCTTTTGCCAACTTTAAGAGTAAGTCTAAAGGAGTCTCACTAAATTAGAGGTCGGTTGTATACGTTTTGGGTAAATAGTTCATTTCTGTACCTTGTTATTTAAGAGTTTTGTCATAATCTTGTATCAGAGTATATAAAATGTTTCCCAGTACCTACCGTCTTTTTTTAAATATTACTATGTGGGAAATTTTAAAGTAAAAAATTCCTATTTCAATCCCCCTGATCCATTTCACCAAGTTTTAATTTTGTAGTTTACCAATAGAAGAAAGACAAAACTCTGGGGCCACTCTTCTAAAAGTAACCCCCCTCTGTAGTTGTAGGTTTGAAATTAAAATTCAGTAGTAAACTTACAGTAACTAAAAGGGTCTTGCATGCTTACCCGGATGTATGCATCCTGATGGTGCTTAGCAAAGTAGAGCATATTGTCCAAAGCCAACATTCCAGGAGGAGTCTGAGTAAAGTCCATGGCAGGGTTGACATGGTTCTGTGATGAAAATAAAATGTTACATGAGATTTTACTATTATCATTATTGTTGTTATTATTATTATTTGCTTTCCATGAATTTATTTTTTAAATTTTTTATTGCTACATTACTATTTTAACATTATTTTTAATTCTAAAGTTTTATAAAAGTTAATACTTATAATTTAAATACAAATGTTTTCATAGGCTAAGAGCACGATATACATGTAAATGCTATTATGCTTTATTAGTGCATTAAAGTTATACATAATAGTGGGATTCATTGTGACACATTCATATATAACATAATTTACTCCAATTCATTTCCCAGTGTTTCCCCTTTCCTGCTCTGCATTCCCCCCACCTTGTCTCCCTTCTTGTACTCTCTGGTATTTCTTTTATTTGTTTACATGTACATTTTTTTCATCATTGCATTATAATTAAATATAAAAGTGGGCTTCCTTGTGCATATCTATACATGCATATGTTAGCAGACTTCACCGACCACCAGTGAACTGGTTTCCCTCCTCACGACAGAAGTGCCAGAAGACAAGCTCTAAATAATCAAATATGATGGTGTTTTCTATCTCCCTGTAAGCCTTCTAGGACTGGAGAAGGTACTTCTTCCAGATCTACAGGTTCAGCAAAACCAGCTTTTATACCCAGAGTTAGGAGACCTCGCTGCAGCTCAAAATGTAAGCTTATTCATAGACATATAACATTGTGAGGAAAAAAAAAAACACAAAAATTACATTTCTCGTAGCTTCACTGAAGGGGAGAAAGATCTGGATAAAGCCATGTGTCTGCCACTTATCTCAGAAGCTGACTCCAGGAGGCATTACCTATGAGCACCTTAACTTCCTCACTCTCATGTGTGAGGTTAAGTATGGACACATCTGGCCACAGGCTTTGGGAGGCGTCCAGGGTTACAAAGTCCTCAGGCCTCTAAATTGTATAGACATTGAATGCAATTCAGATGTCCACAAGGTCCCGACATCCACCTGCTCCCAGAAAGCATGTCTGGAATTATGGTCACCACAGATGGCACGATGACATAACAGTTACAAATATGCCTAACTGGGGAGCAGGCCTGACTGACTGACCCAAATTCTCCATATACTTGAAATGATTGAATAACTCCACAAGGACTCTCATTTAGACACCAATCCACTCTCCACCATTAATCACTGAAAACAATCACTAAGAACTGTCTTGAAAATGCAGATCTAAATGTTATTAGTACATTACAGTTATACATAATAGTGGGGTTCCTTTTGACATAATCATACATACATGAATGTAATGTGCTCCATTTCAATCCCACGTGCCTCTTTCCCTGGTCTCCTATCTCCTTCTATTCTCCCTCCTCTGTTCTACTACTGGTCTTTATTCTGTTTATTTGTTTTTTAATTTTAGATATGTCTAAAGGTGAAATTCACAGTGGTATATTCGTATAAGTAGATAGCATAACTTTTTCCAATTTGATTCCTCAGTTCTTCCCTTTTTCCATCCCTCTTCCTTCCTCCCTCAGTCCCCTTCATATCCTCCATCAATCTAACTGTTTTGTGGGATCACAAAAATATCTCCAACCCCTGCTTTTTTCCTTTATTTTGCTCTAGTTTCTACATAGGAGAGAAAACATTTGACCTTTGACTTTCTGAGTCTGGCTTATTTCACTTAGCACAATGTTCTCCAGTTCCATCCATTTTCCCAGCAAATGCCATAATTTCAATCTAATTTGGGGCAGGGGGCTAAGAAAACTTCACTCTCTTTCTGTGTGTGTGTGTTTGTGTATATGTTCACACACATAAATATATTTATAGCAGCACAATTCACAGTAGCCAACTTATGGAACCAACAGATGAATGAATTATGAAAATGTAAGATACATGCATATATACACAAAAAAAATTCCTCTGTGTCTATACATATATACATATATATACACACATACATGTACATACATATATACACACACATATATACACACATACACATATACACACACGTACACATATATATATATAAAACACATACACACACACACACACACACACACACACACACATTACAGGCGCTATAAATTTTGATATGCCTGTATCTCTACAGTATGCTGATTTTAGTTTTCTAGATAAATACCAAGGAGAGGTTTACTGTGTCATGGTGGTTCTATTCCCAGTCTTTTTTAAATTTTTTTTTTTAGTTGTAGATGGGACACGATATCTTTATTTATTTATTTTTATTTGGTGCTGAGGATGGAACCCAGTGCCTCACGCATGCGAGGCAAGTGCTCCACCACTGAGCTGCAACCCCAGCCCATTGACCCTGATTATTTTTGTGTGTTTATTTTGTACCCTTCAACTTCATTGAATTCATTTAGTAATGTGAAGATTTTTGTTTGTTTGTGGGGTCCTCAGGGTTTCCTACAAAATATAATGTCATCTGCAATCAGGAAAAATTTGGTTTCCATTTTCCAATTTATCTAACAGTCCTTCCTTCTCTTACCTGATTGCTCACACACTGAATAGAAACTGTGAAAACGGGCATCTTATTCTACCTCAAAAAATGATGACTGTGTGATATAAAACACTTGGTACTTAGCTACATTTAACCATTCCACAATATATATGTATATTTCAAAGCATCATGTTTTACATGATAAAATCATACCTTAACTGTTGTTATAAAAAATTGAAACAATTTAAGTGCCTAAAAAAAACTACTTTTTCATTACTCAAATAACTTGCATGAAATGGCATATTTACATTTGGCCCTGAAAACTTTTTAATAAACAGTTTGAATCTCTGTTTTGCTAGGGCAATTTGTGTTAAGGGTAATTTTTTCTAATTCTGGTACAGGAAGGCCTTTTCATTCCCTTGTTCAAGGTTCAATCCACCTACACTTTTCTACATTATTCAAGAGTACATCAGTTTAGTCTTTGCCGAGCTGCTTTGAAATTTTGTTTATGAGCTAATGAACGACATCTAAAATCATGAAAGAGTGGGGCTGCCTACTGGCCAGAGTTCCAGTTTCAAAACATCCCTATTCATCATGTCTATTTAAGTAGGTTATGTCACTGCATTGATTTGAATAGTTTACTTTAACATTTTATCCTGATTCATTTGTTAAAATGTTGGAAAGTTTTTAAAATACCAAAGTACTACTGCCAATAAGAAAGATAGAGCTCACAAAATACATATAACTGTAACAAAAATGAAAATCATTTTGGATGTCAAATGCCGTGCAGTTCAGCCTCAATTTGACATTCATTGGAGTAAGAGGGTCTAACATATTCAAGAGTAGAAAAAAAATTCAAAGTACTAGAAATAAATGAACACAGAGATTTAGTCAAAAGAATAGCTTGTACTTAAAGATGTTATATTTTTAGCTATTTATCAAAGAATGGTGGAACCTTCCCCATTACACACAAATTTGTAAATTGATTACTTTGCTACATTAGATTTTCATGAACATAAGTAATAACATAAAAAGGTTGCTATTTGGTGAATATTATCTGTGAATGAGCAATATCATGTACTTACATATATTAAGTCTCAAAACACCCCCATTTTGTAGGTACTATTGTTATTCCCATTGTGCTGATCAGGAAATTGTGGCTCAGATAACTCAGAAGCCTGCCAAGAACCTCAAAACATGGCTTTGGCTGAGCAAGCAATGTCCTCTTTGGACAGTGCATTTCAGCAATCTTTTGTTTCCCAGCCTTTTCCTTCCTGCCAGTATAGAAGCTGGATGCCTTTGTTTTGGTATGCTTAGCATTTAGATTTAACATGGATGGAGAAAATTTTATTTCACAAAAATGTAGACTAAGCAATATTAGCTTCCATACAGCATGAGCCAACAAAGGCAAGTGAGCCAGATGGAAAAGAAGAAAACATAACATTTATTTTAGACCTATTTCTATTATTGGTCTATGAGTCTATTTCAAAACTAACCCTGAAGAGTAAATCAAGTCAAAAAATTAATTTCCCTTAATCTGATTTCAACAAGCCTCTAAAACTGTATGTTAGTGAAGATGACCAGAGAGATTGGTGTCCACAGCTCCAGAATCGTCCATGGCTCTTGCTTGAATTCTGCACCCAGGACCCCCTGGAAGCCTCCTTCTATCTATCCAACCCTTCCTGAGGCATATACTATGGGTATAAAATAGGAAACTGTTGTTTTCAAAAGATCCTTAGAGTTAAAAATTATATACACTTGATTATTTATATACATGGAGAAATGTTCTAGGATCCTCTATGGGTACCAACATCTTGAGATTCCCTATATAAAATGACATAGTATTTTCATATAATCTAAATACATACTCAGTGTACTTTAAATCACCTCTAATGTTATTTATAATACCTAATATGATGTAAATGCTATGTAGCTATTTGTTAATCTATACTGTTTGAGGAATCCTTAATAAGCAAAAAGTCTGCACATGCTCAGTACAGTTACAATTTTTAAAAACATTATCTATCCACAATTGGTTCAATCTGTGGATGAGGAATTCACAGATATGGAGGGTGAACTGTAACTGATTTTTGGAGTTCTTTTAAAGAAACATACAGCTAGTTGGCAAATCACCCTAGTAAAGTAATACCTATTATGTGCAGCTATTGTGCAAGATGTCTAGCATATGCTAGCCCTTTATCCTCACAAAACCCTCGGTGGGTCAATGCTATCATTTTCTTCTTTGACAAGAAAGAACCCAAAGGCCTGAGAGTTTGGGTAACAAGTCCAAAGTTTCAGAACCAGTATGCATCAAACCCAGAAGGTGAACTCAAGAGCACAGGCATTGGAGAAGAACTGTATAGTATCAGGTTGTTGACCAATCTGACCTTGCTTCAGATTTCACAAAGATGTCCAGTGCAGGTCCCCAGTTGTTGGGGTCCTCCTCAATCAGCATCATTCCCTCAGACAGAAAGGGACTGCAATTCATCCCACTTAATAAAAGCTATAATTTCTTCACCATTTCCAGACATTATAACAGACCTAACTCTCTTGTGTTCATTGAA